GACAGAAAGAGAGAGAGAGAGAGAATTTTTTAAAAAACCACTCTTTACATGTGCATGTATTGTTTATGAATATGTACCTAAACCAGGTACATCTACTTTCTTCACTGTCCTTCTCTCACATCCGTGCAAAACCTCCAGAATTGCCATGATAATCTTTTTCTACCAACCCTGCAAGAGGATGAATTGATGCCCCCATATCCAAATGTCCTGATTTGGTTTGGACAGCTCTTTTCCAATGTCCTTGGTTGCATTTGCACTGCAGAAATAATGCAGTTTGACACCACTTTAGCTGCCATGGCTCCTTCCTATGGGATCCTGAATACCAAAGTATCTGAATACCAAAGCATTTGGTATTTGAATGTCAAAGTTAGGATCATCCAAGCCATTGTATTTGCTGTCACCATGCACGGATGTGAGAGAAGGACAGTGAAGAAAGCAGATAGGAAGAAAATTCATTTGAGATGTGATGCTGTAGAAGAGTGCTGAGGATCCCGTGGATGGCCAAAAATTCAAATAAATAGGTCCTAGAACAGATCAAGCCTGAACTCTCCCTGGAAGCCAAGATGACAATTGAGGTTGTTGTACTTCAGTCACATCATGAAAAGACCTGGATCACTAGAAAAGACAATCATGCTAGGAAAGGAAGAAGGTAGGAGAAAGAGAGGAAGACCGCATACCAGATGGATGGATTCTATTAGGGAGGTCACAGGTATGGATTTGTAGGATCTAAGCAGAGCAGTGGAGGACAGGGGTCTTGGAGATGTCTCATCCACAGGGTCTCCATGAGTTGAGGGCAACTTGAGAACATTTAACAACAGCAAGATGCACCAGTAGCTCTAAGCATGACCATGTTGTTGTGAGGTTGTCCTTATATGCCTTCAAGTCATCTCTGACGGTGACCCTTTCCTAGGGATTTTTTGGCAAATTTTCTTCAGAGAAGGCTTGCCATTGCCTTCCTCTGGGGCTGAGACAGTACAACTTGCCCATAGTCACCTTGTGGGTTGCCATGGCTGAGCAGGGATTCGAACCCTATCTCCTGGAGTCCAACATGCAAACCACTACACTATGTTGTCCCTCCTAGGATTCTCTTGGCCAGATTTCTTCAGCGGCATTTTGCCACCGCCTTCCTCTATAGCAGGGGTAGGCAACCTTTCCGCTTTAAGGGCCGAGGGACTTCAGCTCCCAGAAGCCTCAGCCATGTTGGCCAATAGTCCCATGTTGGCCAATAGCTCCTGGGATTCTGGGAGCTGAAGTCCCTCGGCCCTTAAAGGAGAAAGGTTGCCTACCCCTGCTCTATAGGCTGAGAGAGTGTGCCTTGCCCAAGTGGATTTCTATGGCTGAGCAGGGATTTAAACCCTGGTCTCCTGGCATGCTAGTCTAACAATGAAACCATTACACCATGCTGGCTCTCTTGATGTCTGTGACCCAAAAACAATCCCCCCAATCCCCCCCTCCTACTGCCTTTCACCCATGTTTGCTGGCTGATCCCTGCTTTGCCTTAATCTATCCTCACCCTGGCTTGTGATCCTTCCTGAAGGCCTCTCTTTCCCCCCATCTGTTGCTGTGCTGAACCACAACGGCAGATGACCTGCGCATCCCCGCTTCCTCCTCATAACCTCTCTGGAGGCAGAGCAAACCCGCTGACTAGATGACCTGGAGCAAGTCACACTGTCTCAGCCTCAGAGGAAGGCAACGGTAAACCCTCTCTGAACAAATCTTGCCAAAAAACCCTTGTGATAGTGTTGCCTTAGGGCTGCCATAAATCAGAACTGACTTGAAAGCACACAATGACAAGTCTCCCCCATAGTCACCCTTCTACAGGGTAGGTGCACTCTATGATTCTGGAGACCAAGGTTCAAATCCTTACTTGGACAAGGAACCCCACTGAGGGACTCCAAACTATGCAACCCAAGCTGTGCAACCTTTCCATATAGTGCTATTACTCCAATCTCTGCATTCATCTGCTTCCATGACTTATTCCTACACACCACCATCCAGGCCATGCCCTTCTATCCATGCTGCCCCAGAACAAGAGGACTTGATATGACATTGACCCACAGCTGGCAGGGGAGAAGGAGGAATTTGGGCCACAATGGGGCAGCAAGGAAGGGTAGCACAGGAGTGTGTGTCCAGTACAAAGGTATTGTGGGTGCTGTTGGGGTCCAGCTTGCTTGCTGCCAAGCTGAGGATGCATTGCATGACTCTGCAGAGCGGAGGGCATGCGAGGCCGCAGCGCATAGCCCTCCCTCTCCTCAGCCTGGCATCAAGCTGCACCGCAGCTGAGAAATGGAGATTGGCAAGGATCCGGCTGGGCAGCCAGACAGAAATGCAGGCTGGAAATCTTTGGAATAAGCAGGAGGGAGGGAGGGAGGCTGGGTGAAAGCACAAGCCGCATTAGAACACACACACACACACGGAAACAGGCACACTCATTCTGTCACACAGTCTGGATGGATGGGGAGAGTTTCATAACCTGGTAGAGAAGCAATATGGTGTCCTAGCGAGGCATTGGCTGAGGGTTCAAGCCAGGAACCCAGGCTGACTACTTTTGGGTCCGAGGACCTTCACAAGTTCAACCTACACAATGAAGAAATAGAAATAGTCAAAGAATTCCCATACCTGGGATCAAACATGGATAGAAATGGAGAACGCTGTCAGGAAATCAGAAGAAGACTAAGAATGGGGAGGGTGGCTATGAAAGAACTAGAAAGGATCGTAAAATGCAAAGATATACAACTCAGCACAAAAGTTAGAATCATACAAGCCATTGTATTCCCTATTCCCATGGATGGATGGGAGAGCTGGACAGTTAAGAAAGATCATAGGAAGAAAACCAATGCATTTGAGAGAATGTTGGCCTGGAGAAAAGTGCTGAGGATCCCATGGAGAGCCAAAAGGACCAACAAAGGGGTCCTAGAGCAAATCAAGCCAGAAACCTCCCTGGAAAAAGCCAAGATGACCAAAGTGAGGCTGTCATACTTTGGACACATCATGAGAAGAGGGGGCTCTTTGGAAAAGACAATAATGCTGGAAAAGGTGGAGAGAAGTAGGAAGAGAGGAAGGCCACATGCCAGATGGATGGACTCTTATGAAGGAGTTCCCTATGGGTATGAAGGGGTTGCAGGAATTAAGAAGAGCAGGGGAGGACAGAGGGTCTTGGAGATGTTTTATCCAGAGAGTCGCCATGGGTCGAGATCGACTCAAGGGCATTTAACAACAACAAAATGGTCCATTATTTACACACACACACACATTTTCATGCCTTCCAGCATTTCAGATTAAAATCAGACTCGTGTGTCCAAACAACATCAGAATATGGTCAAGATAGTTGCAGGTCACATTTCAGGAGCATGTGCACTAAACAGGTCACATACTTCCATCCCATAATGATCCTGCCTTGCTTAGCAACTCAAAAATTGAGGAGGGTAGCTTTTGGCAGAGAGGTGTGTTTTAGGGCTTATGGGGTCAATAAGACTTCATCTAGCGTTCAGGAACTCTGTACAACCCTGGAAAACATCCAAGCTGTCCCAGGCATCGTCTGACTCTAAACTCTGGTGCCTGTTATCTCTTTTGTTTTCCAGTTAGGCCTTGGAGTTTTGCTCCTCTCACCTACTCCCTGCATTCCTTTCTTTGCATCTCTTGTCAGGCTGAATGAGGCTAACATCAAACCCACAACAAGACTTTAACTGCCATGGCTCCATCCTATGGAATCCTGGGATTTGTGCTCTGACACAGAAGGCTCAATCACTCACCAAACTATAAATCCCAGAAATCTATCACATGGAGCTGGAGTTTGAGTGGTGTCAAGCTGCATTATTTCTGCAGTGCAGATGCAGCCAGAGAGAGAGTGAGGCAGGTTAGTTCACTGCTGCCCCAGAAGGTAGGACCAGGTCTATTGGTTTGAAGTTACAGAAGGGAAGATTTTAACTGAACATTAGAAAGAACGTCTGGATGATACAAATGGTTCAGCAATAGAAGCTGTACCCTAGAGAAGGGGTGGGTCTCTTTCTTTGGACATCTTCAATAAGTGACACTTGGCTTAACAAGACTACGTGTGAAAGGGATCTAGGAGTCCAAGTAAACCATAAGTTGAACATGAGTCAACAGTGTGATGCAGCAGCTAAAAAAGCCAATATGATTCTAGACTGGATCAATAGAAGTATAGTGTCTAGATTAAGGGAAGTAACAGTCCAACTCTATTCTGCTTTGGTCAGGCCTCACCTGGAATCCTGTGTCCAGTTCTGGTCACCACAATTCAAAAACGATGTTGAAAAACCGGAGCGTGTCCAAAGAGATTGACTAAAATGGTGAAGGGTCTGGAAACCATGCCCTATGAGGAACGACTTAAGAAAGTGGGTATGTTTAGCCTGGAGAAGAGATGGTTAAGAAGTGATATGATAGCCCTATTTAAGTATTTGAAGGGATGTCATATTGAGGATGATGTTCTGATGCTCCAGAGAATAGGACCTGCAACAACGGATGCAACCTCCAGGAAAAGAGATTCCACCTCAACATTCGGACGAACTTCCTGACAGTGAGAGCTGTCCAACAATGGAACACACTCCCTCAGAGATTGTGGTGGAGTCTCCTTCTTTGGAGGTCTTTAAACAGAGGCTGGATGGCCAACTGTCAGGGTGCTTTGACTGTGATTTCCTGCATGACAAGGGGTTGGATTAAATGGCCCTTGGTGTCTCTCTCAACTCTATGATTCTATGACTGGGTAGCTACCTGCTGGTAGGAATGCTCTAGCTTATAGGTGCCCTGCCTGGGGTGAGATATGGAATTTCAGGAGGTGCAACAAAGAGTGGCTTGTTTCCTTGACTCATCACTCATTTTTTTCTGAATAAATTAGAATCTAATTGCTCCATTGAGATTTGCATTTTATGCAATGAATTAAAAGCTGAATTTTTAAAAGATCAGTTTGCTCATCTACATTATTGTCTGTGGTTCAATTTGTGGTTAAAAAATTATAAATCAGACTACTTCATCTTCAAACATGATATTACAGTGGGAATTAAACCCTGGTCTCTAGAGTCACAGTCCAACACTCAAACCACTATGCCACGCACACACATCCATGAAAGGTTTGAGGGAGGATGCAAACTGAATTGACACCATTAAAGGAAGAGTGGCAGACCGGCAATCCCTGCCAACCCCAGAAGAATCCAGAAAGCCTGGCATTCAGTCCCTGAGACCTCATTCTGCCCCAGGGAGACTGCCTCCTCTTTCTGATCTAACTCACATTTCCCAGGCAGAGGGAACCCCCACTTTACAAGGGTCTTGCACCCCAGCTTCTGGACTGGAGGCAACCAGGGTGGACCCAGGGCTAAACTGGATGGGAAGCTAGTGTTGTTGCCTTGTTAATACGCTGAGTTTTATCCCCCAGAAAAGCAGCTGCTGATGGAGGGAAGGGTTGGCAGGCAAGGCTACTGCAGGAGCAGGAGGTGAGGTGGATGAGGGAGGAAGGAGGAAGGAGGGGGCTCTGGATTTGCAGATTTTTTCCACCCTGATGCACTGAACACTGCAACCTGTCCATGTGGCAGAAGATGTAGCTTTCTTTGAATTAAAGCCTCAAGAGGTTTTGGAAAGGAAACCTGAAGGTCATCCAGTCTAGCCCCCAACTTAAAAAGGGAGTCTGCCTTGTGTATGTGAGCAAGATTGTGTTACGCGTGCAGAAGATTAAAGAAATACAATCTGTCTCATTGCTGCAGCAGCTGATGGAAGACTTCAAGTCATTTCTGACTTATGGTGACCCTATCATGGGGTTTTCTTGGCAAAATTTATTCAGAGGAGGTTTGCTATTGCCTTCCCCTGAGGCTAAGAGTGTGAGATTGGCCAAAGGCCACCCAGTGGGTTTCATGGCTGAGGTGAGATTTAAACCCTGGTCTCCAGTGTCGTAGCCCAATGCTCAAACCACTACAGCACACTCTCAGGGTCACTGTAATTTGGAAATGAATTGAAGGCACACAACAACAACTACTACTACTACTACTACTACTACTACTACTTCTGCCTAAAGCACTAAAGCATACAAAGATGGAAAGCTGCCTTATACTGTACTAAGGCTGTTGCCACACTGCAGAAATAATGCAGTTTGACACTACTTTAACTGCCATGGTTCCATCTCATGGAATCCTGGGATTTGTAGTTTGTTGTGGCACCAGAGCTCTCTGACAGAGAAGGCCTCAATATCTCACCAAACTACAAATCCTAGCATTCCATAGCATTGAGCCTTGGCAATTAAAGGGGTGTCAGATTGCATTATTTTTGCAGATGCAACCTGAGTCAGGCAATTGCTTCATTGAACCTGGTACTACCAACTCTGACTGGCAGACATATCTCCTTGGAGATTACTTACAGGATCCTCTCCTGGCCCACTTAGAGATCCTTGCTAGTCCTTAGTGGTCTTCCATGCTGTTTAGCTTCTTAAATTCCATGAGATCAAGTATGTTCAAAGAGAGATGTGTTAGTTTGTTCTAGCATAAACAGACATACAGCTAGCACCTTGAAGGCTAATTGCGTATGGGGGGGGGGGGATTCTCTGCATATGATGAAGTTGACTTCAAGCTTTAGGCTGGACATTTCTTTTTCCTAATCCATCCCAATGTTGCTTCTCAGGTCTAATCCGCACTGCAGAATTAATGCAGTTTGACATCGCTTTAACTGCCCATTGATTCAATGGGTCTACGTAATCAGGACTGATACATTTAGGCCATATGCCCCATGCAACCGCTCTCTCTCCCTATTTTTGTTTTGCTGATGAAATATTTATCCAGTGCATCCCAGTTTCCGAATTCTAATTCTCCAGCTGCAGAATGAGAGAATTATGTGGCATAGATGTATATGCAATTTACGCACTGAATTGGAAAATACTTTTGTGGCAGGAGGGGGAAAAGTCTGACCCCACAAGGCAATCCACCCAGGCGTACTGTACATCATCCGCCCAGAAGCTGATCTTGCCAAGACCCTGGACAGAGCGAGATTGTGTTACGCGTGCAGAAGATTAAAGAAATACAATCTGTCTCATTGCTCCAGCAGCTGATGGAAGACTGATGAGTGGGCTGAGGGGGAAAGGGATTAAGGATGATCCCGCCGGGAGGGAAAGAGAAAGAGCCAGTTGTGGGGGGAGAGGCACGGGGGAGAGTGATATTATTATAGCAGAATGGGGTGGGGGAGAATTTAGGTTACTAGGGGAAAAGTGCCAACAGGCTACAGAAAGATATTACACACACACACATACACAGCCCCTCTGGGGGGAAATGTCCATCACAGTCAGGAAACAACTAATCCAGGTAGAAACTTGAATCAGGAGGATCCAG